CTTCAATAAACCTTGGTATACACCCTTTTACACTTTTGTACAGCACCACAAAAGCCGAGCTAAGATAAATCTTATGACCTGTTTCAATTATGTGTTTGGCAATAGAGGATGATGGATGTTTATCCTCTACTCTTATCAGGTCATTTGATTCTATTTGTTTCACATAATTCTGGTAATATTCGTCTTCTTATTACAAATGTTTATAATAGTTTAAATATTAAACACTGCAGTTGATTAATTCTTTACTTTCTTCCTTAAGACATACAATTTTTCTTTAAGTCTTTGGGTGAGACTATAATTTATGGACTAACCAATCAGATATGAGATAACAGGTCTTGAATTCTGGCACGAAATTCGTTCACCCACTGGGCTACATAGCTTTTGTCATCTTAGTTGATGTCAGTTCGTGATGAAAACCCTAAATCTAATTCCTAACACTAACCACCAACTGTAAGTCATGATTCCGATTCCTTACAATGGTTTAAAACCCTCATTTAATCCTAGTCAATAGGTGAACATTCTCATGGTCACTTAAGCGTCGTTCCATAAATTATAGTCTCACCGCTAAATTAATCGCATTCTTATATTAAGTTGATATCTTAACAAATGGATTTATAAAACTTTGTATTCCAGACTACTGATAAGTAGCTACTATTTTGCCACACATTTTCCACTAGTTATTTTAAAACCTACTCTAAATACATTCGTCAACGTAATTAATCTTCGTTTGATCGATGTCCTCGAACAACTGGTTGGGTATGCGATTCAAGTATACTCCGTTCGGCCCTATAGTCATCACTTTGGTCATAATTTGTTCATCGAAACAAACTACACATATGAGAGTGATTATCATCAACAATTAGTCAAAACAATTAGTATTAGACGGTTATTTAGCTGTAATTAAGATTTCCTATTTGGTATACGCTTCTGATACCAGAAACGATGGGACACTACATCTCCAATTTCCAGAAAGAGTACTAAACAACTGAATTTATTTCAGATCCGATGGCTTTACATTTTCAACCATTCATCAATTATCAAACACAGAACAGTACATGTATTTGTTGTGAGTAACCAATGAAAACTGTCTGAATTCGTCTGACCTCAATTATATTTTTAGTCCAAGTGAAACTCATAAGCACATCAGTATCCAGATTATGGTACAACGAAATCTCTGAAAAACGAATAAAATTTTCTATTTGGATATTCCTAGAAAAGTAATGGAATTTGTTAAACTGATTTCCTATTCTATTATTAAAGTCAACAAATTCACATTCACATTAATCAATTGACGGACATTACGTGAGTTTTATTTCTCAAGCAAACTAATGTCAGAACAAGATAGGGTAGTTCAGTGAAGAGCTCTCTTTTTATCGAATTCATTCCTAAAGCTGTACAATGACAAATAATATACTGAATTTCCCACGAATGCAATCAATGATGCATCTGTTTCTATGATGATAATGATTTGCTGAACATTATAACACAGTAGTAAAGTGTAAACGAGATCATAAAATACGATCAGCATTAAAAATATGAAAATGTAGTGGTTAAGGGATTTAACTAATACGTGAGTGCTACTCTTTCCGTGTACTGATAGTTCAAATATATTGTATTGTTCCATTGATTTGACGTGATACAAGTGGACCATTTTTAACGTATGTGACATAAGATGAATGTGATTAACCCTTTGAAATCTGTACAAAACAGAATATTTAAGGAGTTTTTTTTCGAACACCTAATACTATCTATCATAAATAGGATACTAACGAAAAGTCGAACAATTCACCTATTTTAAATAATCTGATTATGAGTAGATATTCATAAGTTATCCGTTAACCGTTGACCAACATTATTTCTGAATATTCTCCACAACACTTGGTCTCTAACAAAATTCACAAACTCATACTTCTGATTTAATGAAGATTATTACTTAAACTATGCGGAAAAAGTTTGATCTTCAGTGAAGAAATTACTTTCGCTCAATCAGTCTATTGTCGGAACCATGAAGTCATCTGATATTATACACCGTCTCTACAACTAAGTTCGTTGATATACTCGACAGTGACCAGTACAACTTATTCAGTGTGGTAGTAACACGATTATATAAACAATCTTGTTCGGTTGTTCTCTCCCACAGTAGGATGTTGCTGATATTTTCTGGCCATTTCATCCTGTTCAGAAAGTCATGTTCAATCGCCTGTTTCTCCATGTTCTTTACACTGCATTGAGTTTTACAAATTTTAAGTGTTAATTTTACCTTCCCCTTGTTTATAGAGTAGACTATGATCTTTAGCTTTTATTCTCTAAATTTTTACCTCTTTTTTCTTTTAAATATATAAATTAGCGTGGAGGTTCCGATGCAGACGTAAAGTCAAGGATTGGCAAAGTAAGGGTAGCATTCCTACTATTCAAGAACATATGGAACTCAAAACAACTGTCAACCAACATCAAAGTAACAATCTTCATTATGAGAGTCAAGTCAGTTAGTTCTACTATACGGAGTTGAAACTTGGAGAACTACTACAACTATCATCAGATAGGTAAAGTTTTTCTAAACAATTGTTTACACAAGATACTCAATTTCAGTTCGCCAGATACTATCAACAACAGCTCACTGTGGAAACAAACAAACCAACTTCCAGATGAGGAGGAAATTAGGATAAGATGATGGAGGTGGATGGAACGGCCATTGAAGAAACCACTAAACTGTATCACGAGACAAGTGCTAGCTTGGAATCTTGAAACGAAAAGGAAAAAAGGAAGATCTAAAAACATATTGAATCGAAAATTGGAGGCAGACATCGAAAGGATGAATAGAAATTGGAAACAACTGGAAAGGAGAACGAAGGACAGGATTAGTTGTAGAATCCTAGTGGGCAGTCTATACTGCTCTATGAGGGGTGACAGGCGTAAGAAAGTTAGTAGAAAGAGAAAATATCAAGGAATTCACATATGCCAACTAAGAGTAACCGAAATTCACGCCTTAATATTAATAATGATAAAATATAAATCCTTATAAAGTGTAAAAATTTGTATTTAACAGATAAAGTACCTGGCATGTGCACAGATCCATTGATCTATAATTGCTGAACCACCTGGGCCATAAGATATCCACTCGGATTCCGTTGGCTCAAAATGAAGTACTTGAAGTGGATAAAGTAAACTTTTCAGATTTTCAAGTTCTAGATATGGAATAAATGTAATAGAAAATAAATAAAATAATGGTTCAAAAATATACTACTTCTATTACATAATATCAGTAGTTTTGAAGTATCACACAATAACACATTCAACATATTATAACTTGAAATTAATAAACATCTTCAGACCAAATAGACTTTATATTTTAAATGGTCGAATTTCTCCAAGTTATTTTAATCTGACCAAGTTAATACTTATGTAACTTGACTCCTTTGAGCTGAGGGTGTTTAGCAAGTCTCTGTGCAGCATACAAAACGTGATAAATCCATGTGAGTAAATGTGACTCTCTCAGGAGGAGAGAAATGTAAATCTTAAACAACATGATTACATAAACGATAGCCTTCTTAGGCTCCTTCTGAATAGGATTCTTTGAAAGTATCAACCAATATCTTAGTGTTGGTATATCGATGAAGTATATAACATTACTGATAGTGTGGATCTCCGCTACACATTGGTTTAGATGTAAAAGATTTGCTGCAGAAAGCTTTTCTCAACTTACCTAAAGTGAACGTCTCTATATTCGATATGTAAAAGTAGTATAAACCAGTAAATTAACTTTCCTAATTAAGAATTATATTCCATATACAACTAACTGATCATTAATTTTGTTTAATCAAATGTAGCTGTGCAGTTATTTTATGGCTTTTTAAAACTGTGATATTTAGTACAAAGTAAATGGAACTCAAAATATCTGTCAATCAACATCAAAGTCAGGATTTTTAACACTAACATTAAGACAGTTCTATTGTATGGGGTTAGACTTGGAGGACTATTATAACCATCATCAAAAAGGTACATGCATTTATAAAAATTGTTCACACAAGATACTCAAGATCCTTGACCAGATATAAAAAACAACCTAAAGTATCAAACAACAAACCAGCTTCCAGATGATGAGGAAATTAGGAAAAGATGCTGGAGGTAGATAGGATACAGATTACCGAAACCATCAAACTGCATCACCAGGCAATCCCTAACTTGAATTTTCCAATGTAGGAGGAAAAGAGGCAAACCAAACAACACATTCCATCGTGAATCAGAGGCAGACATAGAGAGAACGAATAGAAATTGGAAAAAAACTGGAAAAGGGAGTAGAGGACAGAATTAGGTGGAGAATGCTGATGGGCGGCCTACGCTCCACCACGAAAGGTAACAAGCGTAAGCAAGTAAATAAATAAAATATACCGATTGAGATTGATTCAGAGAAGAGTTCTTCTTTATCCGAATTCATTTTCAAAGCTATACAGTTCAAGATGTATACATATTTTACAAAGTGCTAATCTAATGTCATCACATCTCTCCTCTTATCTCTTCTCATTATCGATCTTTTACCTCGAACCAACTTATTTCTGTTTCCATGCTGTTTCTGATTACAGTTCATCTGAAATTCAACATTTCATATTGTCACATGATCTAAGCCTTCTTTTATAATTATTAATTTATTAACATTATCTTGGTAAATATTTAAGCTCATTACAACCTACATTTTCAGTTTCTTAATAAAGATATTCATATAAACTCTTTGTTATCATTGTTAAGCAAATCTATTATTATCATCATTAACAGACATAATGGTGATCTAACGATGTTCGGTTCAGGATTTCAATGAAACTCAACAATCTCTAAAACCCTGTACTGACAGACCAATTATTAATAACTATCTTGATAAATAAATTATATACTTACGATTGTACAGCTTTAAATGAATCCACTGAAAAGAGAACTCTTCACACAACAGTCAACAAAAATGACTTGATTACACAAGATGTTACAACACATACATATATGTATACGCGTTACGGTGAAGTCGTTTTTCCCAAGTGATATAAACAAAAAACACAAGTTGATTTTGCATTGTTAATAGATGGAGGCTTCATTTTCGGTATGCTACTACTATTATGACCACCTCTAACTGAATAGAATGAAGATATGAATAAATATTCTTCCCTACTGTTCATATAAGTTTTTTTTTAAATACTAACCTTCTTTATTAGCATCTGTGGCTAGATAAATTGTATCGATTTTATGATCTTCATACTGATTAAATATCTTGACAGCATTTAGAATTTGTTGGGCTGCTAAAACATTATTAGGAGATCGACTAGTACTAGTAACAGTTGTTGTTGTAGCGTTAGTACTTGTAGTAACAAAATCTCCACGACGCCAATGAACCGCTACATATGGTCCACCTAGAGCTGGTGAAAGTGGCCATTGTGGACGTAACCAACTGGAACCTGGACCAAGATGTTCAACTATTGACGGTGATACTGTACGATCTGAAATATCATTAGAATGTAAATAAGCTCCACGGTAATTATCACCAATATCACGTAAATGTTTTGCTATTGCAATGCTTCGACGTACCTAAATATCAAATTTGTAATGTAATTATAGGAAACCTCAAGAGAAACTCTAAGCTCACGATCTACAAAACCAAAGAAATATCTGACAATAGCGCAGTGATTTACATAACACCAGGTTTTTCTACGTTATATCCTATTATACAGATACTGTTTAAACATCTTCAAAGAAAGTAAATGAGAATAAAAGTTGGGAAACATATGTTTAGTTAAAGACCGGAAACTGTATAACCTAGCTTTTCAGTCATTGTCGTAAATATTATGTAATTTTCCTGAGTAATAAAGACTGAAAACAGCTTTAGTGATTTAACTGACCGAGAAATCATATCACATTTCCTGATGTGTAAAAGGAAAAACCATTACTTGCCCAGATACGATCAAAAACTGTACAACAAATAAAAAACGTTTTAAATTACGTGAGTACTAATAGTCTAGGCTAAAATTCATTGTTTTTTTCGCGGGTTTGAGGCGGACTATATTCACGTTACTGAAAGCCGTCCACAGCACGTGATATTCCATACAAGGACCGACAATAGTAAATCCATAACACAAGAGGCTTGGACTTTTCATTCACTGTTCTTTTCACGCAAAAAAGTTATGGATTATTTGGAAATGTAAGAAAAATACCTATAATCACATTTTATAAAATGTGATCATAGTGCTTTTATAAAAGCACTATAAAATATAAATAGTGTGAAGATCAATCAAAATTGTCTCAACAAAATCCATATTTTTATTTGAAAGCGTTCACAGAAAAACCGACAAGCTAACCGCATTTTGCTTAAATCTGTACAAAGTAGGAAAATCAGAACTAGTCAGTGTAACGAACTATTCAAAAAACCGCTTTTCAAGGTCATCATATATTTCAGTTTCAGTTTAAGTTTACAGAAACAAAATAATGTTCAGCTTCAATTTCACAATACAACATGAAAAATACATGTAAAACCACTCATTATTTAAACATATAAGATAGAAATTACATTAATTTATACCAGGGCGCTAATTAAAAGGTATTTTTCCTCGCTGAGTAAATTTTATTATCTTGATCGCTTACTACGTATAATAATAATAGTAATAATTTATATATTCTGAAAATAATAATTACAGAATTCACGTCAGTTTACAGGCATGATCAGTTTGATATAAATAGTATCATTAGATATTGTAGTGACTCACTTTTATCGCTAGAACACGATGGGTTTATTGAAAACAATTATTATTATAGCCAATTGTACCAGTGACTGTTTTAATGTGCTTTTGTTTAACTGTGCTGAAAAGCATGCATTATTCTTACACACTTTGATTGTGACTTCGCGAGAATTTGGTTACGTTCTGTAACCAAGCTTGTATGCTAGCACGATCTCGGTATCCTTTCGATACCACGAGATCGCCAGCAGACATATCTCGACTTGGTCCATTAACTGCCTTCTGATATTTGGCTTCTCGGGGATTTTATGGAGTCTTTTAGCACGCGTTCATAGTCCATCTCGACTCGACGCCACGCTGTGGAGATAGGCCTGACAACCTTATTTTGTAAATAGTTTTCAATGTTATTTGTATCTATTTTGTCAACCTTCCACTGTATGTATATTTAACGTTGAGTTTGCCAACCTGCTCAGAATCAGCAAACATTTATATTTATGGATTTACATTACTGGACCTAAATAGAAAATGCCACATTTGGTCAATTTAAGTAACGTCCCCAATTTTTATTGTATTTGTAACAATTAATTGTATATATTATTATTGCTATTGATTTTTAGTAACTTTGTTTATAATTTTCGCGTTTATATCTGTTTGGTCCACCACAACGCTACAATATGCAGAACAGACATGTGATAGAAGAAAGTTTTAAGTATACTAGTTCAGTAGTTGTTTAGGTAGTACATGTATTACAGCGATCCAATGCCTCAGCTGGGAACTTCTAACTTTTCTTAAATGGACAGCCTGTTGATTTATGGACGGGATAACTTAGGTCACTTCGTGTGCCGGATCGAATTAATGATAATTATCTGAAATTAAAGAAATTAAAACGAAAACAGAGAGTATGGGACAACAAAGCAGTAATTACCAAAACATGTCAACCAGATCTACCAAAATGCGTGTGTCATGTGACACAGTGATATACTGTTGACGTTGGATTATTATTATTATTCACAAACATCTTATGGGTACATAAGCGTTGTGAAGAAACCATTTCGGGTTTCTTCAGAAAATGCAATAATACACTATTTTCAATAATGTTAGCATTATACTTGCCATATTTAAAAAGAAGAATTTACAGTAATAATAGTAGAATATTGATAACAATAAATCGGGTCTGTGTAATTGAGAAGAATATTGAATTGAGTTTAAAGAAGGAAATGGAGAAAATAAGGGAATAGAAAGAAAGGAGACGTGAAATACGCAAACAGTGTAATAGGCGTGTTTATAAACACAGAACAAGAATAAACGACTATGTGTGTATCGTTAAATTAGTAACAAAAAATAATTTATCATTGTAGTAAGATATGACAATAGAATAAATGTTTGTGCAGTTATCGTTTAGAGTGATGCTATGAAAGTCACAATTAAGTGAAAAGGATAATAAAATATCACTCTATATGAGTCATATATGCATAGTGAAGATAAAACGAATCTGAGAAGTTAATTAAAGTGTAACACAAGTTATTGTCTTAATAAGAAACTTCATAATCTTAAGAATAAGATTTATTTAGAAGGGAAGAAGAGCGAGAAAAGAAGTGAACACTTAGTGAAAAGGTTCATCCATGATAAGAATAATAATTTTGTAATGAATATCAACCTCAGAAGGAAACCAGCAATTGAAAAAAAATAAAAATCCTTTAAAGCATTCGGATGAATACATTTAGATTTATGTAATAGTATACAGAATGAAATCGGATATTAGTATAAATATTTGTGCAATAATAATTAAGATTGATGATATGAAAGTCAAAATGATTTCAAAGGACAATCTGGAGTTAAATATGTTTAGAAGGATAAGAAGAGATAAAGAGAATATCTAATGTGTCGGGGAATTAATAATGATATTAATAACGGTAATAATGATAAACACGAACATAAGCAGACTTCATATATTAAGATAAAGAGAAATAATATAAAATAAACGTGAAAAGATTTAAAGTTTTTATTTTGCTTTTCAAGCAATTAAATAGATGACGGACCTTGTTTGTATAAATCATTATTGAATACATTGATATTCAATAGGTGACATAATCCACTTTCGGAAAGAAAATCGTCAAGGAGACTTTTGAACCGGGTTGTAGTTTCACTGCAATGGAGGTTCACTGGCAGTCTGTTCCACATGGTTGAGTAGCGAATAAGGAAAAAATTCTGACGTAAGTTTGTGTGGGTTCTTGATGTTATTCAAATTAGTCAAACTTGCTAGGGACGGTGTTAACATGAAGTGCCAACAAGTAGGTGGTTTTGCTGTGGGAATTCACTAATAAAGATGGCTGAACATTTAAAGTTCATATAATACTACTTGTGGAATGAGATACACTTACAGGTGCTAGAACATTCAACGCATTTTCAGAGGAGCAATATGCATCGATGCAGAGAACAAATAATGGGAGTGGTTTTATCGTACGAGTAGATTGTGGTAGGTTATTTCAGAGTATAGAAAATTTACAGGTAAAGTAATTCATATGAAGAGATGATTTGGAATAAGTTTGTTTCACTAGTGACAAGTAATTACGGATGTCTTTATGATACGTTTCTGCATATTGTATCACGTGATTGGATGTAAAGGATAGTTTGTTAAGTAGTTTGAAGAAAAAGATTATAAGATTTAGTTTGAATCTTCTCTTCCATAACGGCTCTGGCCCAAGTTTATTACATCTAGAATTATAAGTCATGGTACAATCATCTGCAAGAATACGAAGTGTAAATCGTCTCTGTACTGATTCCAGCCTCCAGTTATCCTATATGCGTGCACTGCTAAGAATAAACGTTCAATATTCTGGAGGTGGTCGAACACAAACTTTGCACATTAAAATACGTGATTCATTGTTATGAAGGCTTCGATTTGTGTAACCTAATAGATGTTTAGACTTAGAGGTCTGTTTCAATATCTGTTCAGTAAACGACAAATCTTGGGAGTGTCTATGTCCTAAGTCTACTACTGTATGTAACCTAGATAACACTTCTCCATTTATGGTAAGGTCTAGGTTGAGTGATGTATCGCCGAAGCATATCCATCCACATTTATTTACCATTTTAAGCACCTCTGTGCTACCTTGTTAAGCTTCATGCTGATGCTATTTTGCATAATTTTCAGCTCATGTGGAGAAAATGAATATACTACTTTAAGATCATCTGAATATAGAAGGGGCTTACCGACACAAAAACCTTCACAAATATCATTGATAAACACTAAAAATAGCAAAGTGCCTAAGACACTACCTTGTGTTACACCATTTTAATAGGGACAGTGTTAGACAATGAGGAGTTAATTTTAACTAGTTGATGTCGATTGCTGAGAAAGGAATGAAACCAAGATAGCAAAGGATTTTGAACGACATAAGATGCGAGTTAACCTAAAAGAAATCGGCGGTTAATCATGTCGAAGGCTTTAGAAATGTCCAGATATAGCACTAAGGCTAGATTGCATTGGCTTCGTAGAGAATAGACTAAATTAAAGAAGACAAAATGACACGTCATGCAAGATCGGTTTTTAAGGAATCCATGTTGAGTATCATTGATAAATTTTCCAGCGAATAAATAGTTGAAAATTTCATCACTTATAATTTTTTCCATAATGCTGGAGATAAGTGGAGTAATATTTATCGATCGATAATTGTTCATGTCAGTCTTATCTCCAGATTTGTAACGCGGTATCAAGACTACTCTTTTCAGTTCAATTGAATTTACTTCAGTATTCAATTAGTGTATCGTTTCTGTCTCTAAATTAGTTTGTTGTCGGTACTTTGGAGTACTTTGTTTTCTGTTGTACCTGTTAGTACCGTTGCTTCTAACAAACTACATTTTTCCTATTTTTTGATCGAAGATCATTTTTTTTCTCTGAGTATTATTGCGTCTACTTCTTTTTTGTAAAAAACCCCTGTTTAATCACTGGACAGTGCAAACGTCCGGGTTGTCGTTATTCCGTTAAAAGCGGCATGTAGTGCGATGAGTGCAAAGTCTGGTACCACGATATTTGCACAAACTTCCAGCCTGCGGCTTTGAAACGGTTCAATAAAAACGGTTAGGTATGGATTTGTCAACAGTACTGTTAAGATGTGAATAGCTTGCTAACCGAGGTCATCTCATTGGTAAATGCCGCACAAAAACTCAGGAAGTTTCTTCTGTCCTCAGTTTTCTAATTGGTATACAGCAGGAAAATCCTAGTAGTCGCAATCACAAGGCTCGATAGGTTTCTAGCTGGAAACATAACCTCTCAAATCGTCAACAACCCTCCGGAATCCCACAGTGTGTTTGACGCAACTGTGGTTGCTTCTCATAGCAACATTGACGAATGGGTACAGGTTGTAAGGAAGAAACAACATAAGGATATAAAAGGCAATCCTGCCCCATAAAAGTAGTCAAGAAATCGACTGAATCATCACTGAATCATCCTTACTAGATCTGATACTCAATCACTATGAGGATGACGTCACGAACCACCATTACATGCCACTCCTAAGTAAAAGTGATCACTCAGTTTTAACTTTTGACTTCCATATTACTGTCAGTCACGATCACGCGTCAGTCCAACCCAGACCTAACGTCTAGAAAGCAAGCATACCAGATATCTTACACTCAGCATCGTTAGTATGTTGGACAATACACCCAGAGTCCTCAACTGAAACGGCTTGGGACACATTTCGAAATTTGTACTTAAAAGTTACCACACCACACATTCATTAAACTACATCAAGAGGGCCGAGAGACTCTCCACCATGATTCAATAGGGAGGTACGCATCCTCCGTAAGAAAAGAAAAGTGTGGAATAGATTTAAGTTACTGGGGAATGATGAGACAAAATCTCAGTATCGAAAAGGTCGGAATACCTGTGCCTTGACTCTCCGTAAGTCTAGAAAGTTGTACGAAGCGAAAATTGTCAAGGAATCCATAGATTGTCCAAAACGTTTGTATTCCTATATAAACCAAAGGACAAAATGTAGCGGAAATATTCCTGCATTATAGGGAAATAGTACTGCTGCATCATTAGTGGAGGACGACTTTGATAAGGCTCAAGTGTTCCCAGACTACCTGAATCATATACTGTGAAGTGGAAAAACAGACTCCTTGTATCAGTTCTATTCTTAGACTTTAAGAAAGCTTTAGATAAGGTCCCACACAAAAGGCTTCTAGCCAAACTAAAGTCCTTCAGAATCAACAACACACCGCTCCATTACTAACAGAACTTTACAATGGGCTATTGCTACAATTCGGACACATTTATTGCGTGTAACTTAGGGAAGTTGTGATCACTACTAATGGCCTAACGTCAATTATAAGATGAGGAAAAGAAATGCAATTAACGTTAAAAACTGGTGAGACATTTCTCCCGATTTTAAAATAACCACTTCATTTCCATGCGATGTTTTAAGTAGCCATATATTCCTCATACTTCTAGGAAACTCTCCCAATAACTACGGACTACTGCTTCACTACTAAATGTCATTAACTAAAATGGTAAAAGTCTAGACAATCCTACAGATGACTTAATGTTTACTCATTGTTTGATTTTGTACCTATTTTGAAAAATCTCCATCTCATCTGGAGAGAGAGATTACACCATGGTAAAAGTAGCAAAAAAGTGCATAGAACTTGCGATTTACTGAACACAAGGAGCCGTATACCGTGTCCTGAAAATTCCAATGTACAAATTTATATATAGATAGTTGAGCTTTTATAATTCTCGAGTGTGAAATGTTATGTGTTCGTCATTGACATTTTCAGCAGCTTTGTCTAACTGTGACGACTGTATAAGCGGTGTTTTCTGACTGTTACTATAATCTTATAGAATTCTTATACATGGGTTACCAACCATTAGCGAATTAACACAGGGATAATTGTAATTAACTACGAACGATTATGTAACGTATTATTACGAAGAGAGACTGGAACTAAGCGTTTACTGACAATAAAGAAATCTAAATCTAAAACGTCATATGTAATTCAAAGTTTCAACGACCTTTTCAGTCCTGTGTTTTGCGGTATACGTTTAAAACGAAACGTACACTAAAATTCCCTGAAAATGTACTTAAACATTATTTCATTCAAGAATCTGCTTTCTCTTTAAATGCAGTCAGTTTAAATGTCCTTAAAAGCCAGAAAATTGTCCTCCCATTGTTCGACGAAGGTACGGGCCACTGTTTCAGCAATGGTGTCCTTGATAGATACTGCTTCTGGCCATCGAGTGAAACGATCTACACAGGTTAAGAGGTAATAGCATCCATTTGAATCTGGTAAAGGTCCTATCAAATCCAGATGAACATGGTCGAAACGAGCATCGGGAGTTTTAAATGAGCCTAAGGGACATTTATTGTGTCTGATAACCTTAGACTTTTGGCAGATTACACAGGAGCGTGCCCACTCCCTCACGTCTTTATTCATTCCGGGCCAGCAAAACCGTTCTGCTATGAGCTTGATGGTTGCACGAACACCTGGATGAGAAAGTTTGTGCAATGTGTTGAAGACATTGCGTCGATAATGTTTCGGGACGATTAGGCGATCCCTACCTGTAAATGTGTCACAAAGTAAGATTTCCTTACCTGTTCCCATCTGTTTGATGCGTAGCTTGAGTGATGTAGACGATAACTTGTGCTGAATATCAGTGTCTTCTTTTTGATGCTCGGCGAGTTTAAGAAGATCGATTCCTTAGAAACTGTTCAAGGAAGTTATTTGAGACAAGGTGTCTGCAACTACATTGTTTGCTCCAGAAATATGTTGAATATCTGAAGTAAACTGCGAAATTTAGTCCAGTTGTCGAAACTCACGAGGAGAGTACTTGTCAGAAGGAGAGCTTAACGAGAAAGTGAGCGGTTTATAAATAAATAAATAAATAAATAATAATTTATTCTCAAATAACAGTTTGTTACATGAGGCATGTCAGTTTACAGGCAAGATCAAATTGATACAAATGATACAATATTCACTGCAGTAAATTATATAGCTGGGTTGATAATTTATAAGATATGAATGTAGATGGTTTCAGTCAGTATCACAGTTGGCGCGCTTCATAAAAGTCGCGTTGTGAATGTGCGACTGATGGTCAAGGATAGGTCCATTGAAGGTTGGAGCTTCTAAATGTCGCAACCTTATGTCCTTTTGGAATGTCTAAGGCTTTGAGGATGGTGCAGGATGAAATCTTTCGTTCCATATCACAAGGGGGCTGAAAGAGGGAGCAAGTAAAAGAAAACACCAGAGGCAGGGTAGCCAATATTCATGAAGGAATGTTTAAGGTATGATTACTCAGTCTAATTTACCCTTATTAAGCTATATGTTAAGAAAGAGCATTTTAATAGGTTAAAGAAAATAAGTGTTAACAAGGTGCGAGTGGACATACAACTGACAAATGGAGGCGATTCGGAAAAGAGCTGAGAGTATAAGATTATGTGTGATTATAAAATAAAATATAGTGCTAGAAACAGTATTGTGATATACAATTGGCTGTCTTCCCTTTATTATCGAAGCTATTAGAGCCCCTTTCGTTTTTTTTAAAAATATTTCCCCCCCCCCAGTTATTATAGGGTCTTGAGTAGGCTTCGTATATTAGCGAACTGTCTAGTTTGCTTGTAATAGGATCTCTGGGTAGGAAGTGAAACCAATTCAACGTCCGTAACACGATTTAAAGAGGTATTTTGCGTGATAAATCAGCTTCAATACCATAAGTTCGTGACATCCCACTAAACCATAAGGAGAAGTAATTAAACAAAATGTTCTGCCCTACAGACATGGGTGGATTGAAGTTATCTTCCCACCTTCATGTTTGCTGGGCAGTAACGTCGCCCTCCCTCCTGGTCCGTGAAAAGAGTGAATTCACGGCCTTCGATATAGTGTTGAAAATGCCGTACAGCACATAGCTAGGAGTTTCCTACCGATGTCTAGCAACCGACTAGAGAAAAATGCCAAGGGTTGCCAGGAGTTGTTAACCCATTGTTGTAAAACTCCTCCAATTGCTGAGTCGGATGCGTCTACTGCGATACTAATGCGTGCTTCGGTGTCCTGATGTGCGAGCATTGTTGCTTTAGCGATCAGTTCCCTAACTGTGGAGAATGCTTTTCGTGCGGTGTCGTCCAAATTAATGGATTTCGCATTTCCACGAAGTTGGTTGGTTTGTAGAATTAAAGTCTACTATGTTATTAGTACTGCTCTAATAATAGACCTAATCCTAAATCTGTAGACTTGTCATGATATGACTGCCTAATCTATAAGATCTTACGTGGAAGTCACACCATCGACTACACCAACTCACTGTATCGTATCAATTACCAATACATGATGTAGAACAAGGTTAGGCTAGAGAAAGAACAATATATTTAGTATGAATAGAAGATATAAGGTAACATTCAGCAGAGACCACGCCTGCATGGCCGAGCCATGCCGTTCGATCAACTCTAGTCTATTCAATTCATTATTCGCGCCTTCTCCATCCTTAGGTATTTCTTCGCGTTAAATATTGAATACCTATTTTCCGAGTAATCTCGTATTCAGCTTTGAGGATAGTGTGGTTATGGTCCAATGCCACTACACTACTCTCCCACCAGAATCAACGTGGTGTTGGTTCGATACCAAATTGGATGGGACTGTAGTGTGCCGAAGGTTACCAAGAATAGTAAGATTCCTCTGGGTGATGACAAGCTGAAAGATAAATCAAAAAGAAGACGGCAGCATCTGGTCGGGAAATACATGTAATAATTTTAAAATATCTGCCTTCATGCTTAACACGCTTACAATGAAAATTTGAGTGATTATTTGAGCTATAAAACAATGGGATTACAACAATAAGAATAGTAATAGTAATAATAAAACGATGAGTGTTATTAGCCGTTGGTTGATAACGTATAGGTAGTAAGTATTTTGTGTTTAGAAATATTAAAGTTATGAATATTGTAGAAATGTTAATATTAGTACTACTTTTAGTCTAACTTATGAAATCAAATAACGATTATGCCGGTAAGTTGTCCATATGAGTCGATTTCCAATTGCATCTGTATTAGTAGGCTAACTGAAGGAACAAAAGCATTACCGTGGAGAAGAATTCCAACTAGTGTTCCAGTTAGTTTGATACGGTTTATTTAGTTACGGGGAGATTTTTTTAACCCCATGTTTACCTGATCGTGATAGAATTTAGTAATACTACCAATACACATGAATGGTTATCAAAACAAAATTTAAATACATGAGTGAAAATTATGAGTTTTGGACAGATAGCTAAGAACAAATCGTTAAACATGAGTGTATTCGTAAGAGACATGCTCTAGACTCAATGTTCTGATCTGTGGCAGACTATTTATTTATATTTATACTTGCCGGCTGATTGGACATACAAGTTAGTTGCACGTATGAAGGCAGAATACGACTTAATTGAGATATAGTGGTTATAAGTTATTAAAATCAGCTAAGCCCATGTGTCATATTACTAAGTGATGTGCTGCAAGATGTATTTAGCTAAATAATTTTTTTACAAGATGATTAATAGTGAGTGATGCTCATGTGATTATCAGGGAGAACATAAGTTGTAACCAAGGGGAGTGCACTCCCAACTCATGCCTATGATAATAGCTTGAACCTTAGTCAGTGTTGGGGTAAATTCGACATTGATGTTTTCAGTTTGCAGGATATTTGCTCGACTGCTTATACTGATTATTTGCATGCATGATTGTGTCGCTAAACCATCAATTAGACTGACAAAGTTTTGGGATATTTACTGAATGAGCAACTGATAGAGAAACATACTGTAATCATCTGTAGTGAATGAAGAAAAACAACACTAGTGATAATTATAAGTCAATTTGCTGACCGATTTTGTTAATAGTTTCATTAATTTTATCAATCATATTACGTGATTGTCAAGTCATGACAATGCTTTATGAAGATATCCTGAAACTATTATGTTTAATTAGTTATAGTGTTGATTGAAGATTGGCCAGTGGAAAAATAGGCATTGTTTTAGGTGATTCAAAATTATCAGAAATTTATAACGTTAAAGAACCCGAGACGCCTAATTTAATTATAAATTTCAATTCAGAAATATTTGTTTAATGTTAATTCTAGTAGGCTACGGAGTTTAGATTTTAAAAGTTTGTTCAACCAACAACTACCTGAGGATTTAGTAATTTTACTAGTGCAGTTGATAGTACCTAACTTTTTAATCTTATTATCTAAATTATGTTTGCATTTTAGACTGCTAATATGATAAACCAATCCATAAATCCAAATACGATTAGCAACAACGACTATGATGGGTTTATTAATAAATGTTAGAGGCGATCCAGATGATTTCTAAATTTAGAAGACATGGAGATATAGTGCAACGCATGTACGGGCCAGGGTAACATGCAGGTTGTTGACGTATATGACGATTTAAAAATAATGAACATGACCAGAAAATAATTTTCAAGCTAAGACTGCTTATATAACTCCAGGCAGGAATATGATACGTTATAAACATTCCAT